TATGTATTATATGTGGTATATATATATACATATATGTATATATATATATATATATATATATATATATTTATTATACATACAATACATACATATACATATATATATACATATGTGTATATGTATATATTTTTATGTATTATATGTATATATTCATATATGTATGTATATATATATACATATATATATATATATGTGTGTGTGTGTTTCTGTGTATAATGTTTGTATGTGCATATGTACATATGTATATATATATTTGACCTATAGTTGTACTGTACAGTACATGATAATATATTTTACCTACGGAGAGTCCGAGAGTTTGAGACTGATTCTCATTCATGAACCATCTTCGTAATGTATACTTACGAAGCAAGAAAAAATATTTCATGTATTTGTTGATATTTCCAAGTGAACTGATAGTTAAAAAAATATTAGAGGCAGTCGCTGCGATTCCGTACGGTATATGTGATCAAATTAAGTACAATTTGAGATCTCCGGATTTTTATAAATTATTAAGGGGATAATTTACAATTAAACACATGTTCTTTTACCCTACCTACCTTGTGCTGTCTGCTCAGATGAATGAGCTTGTTCATTAATCGATATGATTAGTTCCCCTACACGAATAGCTACGAATCATTAGGTTTTGTGTGCGCCATACAATCCAGTTTGGTCAAACTACTTTGAGATACATGGAAGTGAAGTTGAATATTCATATAGTCCTGGGGGCTCAACGCCCTTGTTCCTCTATTCATCTCTCACTTTTTCACCCGGGTGCAGCATAGCATTACTCTTAAATATGACTGTACATCCTATGGTTCCTATTCCACATTTTTCATCAGGTGGAGACGATATGGAGCTTCCTCGCTCGCCATTCACAGCCATCGGATTGGACTACAGGCTCAGAGTATAGAGATATCTTGGCGAAATTGTGTGCGTGTTTAGCAAAATTTCCGGAGGGGTTTTCGGGAGACGGCGGAGCTCGAATGGGATCGAATCTACCTTCGCTAGAACACTCGGTGAGTTTATGGTTTAAAGAGACAGCTTGTATTTGTGTGCCTTCCAATTACCCTGCGAGCATTTTGAGTGTATGGAAGTATTCCTGTCACCAAACATACCTCTGTGAGCAGATATCACTTTCCTCGTGGCTGATATCTATTGTTGTCTCGCTCTCTTGTAGAGGCGGGCTTCGTTCTTGAACACAAGCATTGTTCTGTGCTCGTCTAAGTTCTATGACTTCGTGCATAAATGAAGAAATAACCGATCAACGGGTCTTGCTATCGGCAGACTAGGTATCTCAAATGCGACATATTCCCCGCTTATGTCAATGTAACGTATCGCGTCAGAAAGCCAATGCGACACGTGGCTTCTGTTCAGTCTATTCGTACCCTGTCTTCATATTTTGAAGTCCGTTTATCGACACTCGGGTCATTGTAGAAGTCCACCTGCATAATATTCTGGAGTGCTGAAACAAAAAGTATGTAATCTTTATTACACAAACAGAGCAATACCGAGGCGACTCTTGCAGTGCTTGTCCAATGCAAACTAGGACTCCGTTCGGATCGCAAGGATCTGTACCAAAGCCAGGTGCAGTGTGGGTATGTTAGTCTTGTATATATATATATATATATGTGTGTGTGTGTGTGGTGTTGGTGTGGGTGTGGGTGTGGGTGTGTAAGTGTGTGTATGTGTGTGTGTGTGTGTGCGTGTGTGTGTGTGTATGTGTGTATGTGTATGTATAAATATATGTGTGTCCTGGCATTACTGAGCTACCTTTACGCACACCACGCCTAAGACAGACATACAAGCGCATACAAGCGCGATCTAAACGAGGTAGACAATAGGGGGCATAGCATAAGCGCTCGCGTACTTGTAGACGACGAGGTGGCATGCGTGATCGCGTACTCGTGTACTTTATATACATACCCAATACCAGACACTGCGAGATATTTGGTCATTTTAAAGATATGTAAACGAATGAAAATACATACTCAGTTGACCTCTGTAATCCACACTGCAGGCCGTGGCTGCAACAGCTGAACGATGGTGTAAGACTTGATCGCAGACTCTCTTTAGACCTAGCAGTGCACGTGGCACAGACTCTGTGCCAAACCAACCCTAATATTGATTTGATGGTGCGTGTTGTACTAAATACGCTTGATCATGTCTATCAATCACTAGTTCATAGGGGGTCTGAAGACAGTAGAGCGTTTGTGGCCGCGCAGACAGGTAAGTGTATACTCTTGAGTGTGTGTGAGCGTCAGGGCATGTCATAAGAAGCTGTCCATGAATGTAGATTTGACGTTTAATTCAGGCCGAAGCTGTGCGAATCATTGCTTGTTTGATTATATATGTTAGTGGAAGAATGCAAATATGATGAGCAGGCGAATTGTAACTCATGCGCAGCAAATAATTGTGTGAGCAAAAACAGATATGTACTTAAACAAGGGATTGTACGCTAGCATGTTGTTAGCAAGGTGTAATATTATGTTTGGTAATCATAGGCTTCGGCGACCTACTTTCAGCGATGAAGAGAAGAAATTCCAGAGTGTCTAGTAAGCATAGTGGCACTGCATTGCACACAAGATTGGGATGTGCTCTTTGCGCGGTTAATAATTATTATTGTATCATCCGGGGCAGATTTATTGTTATAGTATGCATGTCCATGTTGTATATTAAGCACCACTGCGATACAGGAATGAAAGGATCGTTGCTAAATATTATCCAATCCAGAACAGATAACACGATCCTGCTACTGTATTCCCGCTATACCTTCGGCTCACCCACTTGCACGTAAATGCATTGCACTACAGGTGTCGCACTACTCTGTGTGGTGTGCTCTCTGATGACCACAGTCGATCTCGAGCACCTGGACAGAGCTCTGCAGATACCTCTGCTGCCGCCATCGAGTGTGACCACGGGTACACTAAGGGAAGGTGAAGAAGCAGCGTTTGCCTTAGGAGTTGCCGAGCACTATCCAGATTTGGTGCGATTGCTGCCGCATGCGTTGAGTGAACTGCTTCACAGTGCGCAATGGGAGTCCAAAGCCAATTCGGTATGTTCGCGACCAAATTTCAAAACATTGGCCATCCTGCTTCTGTGGTATTTTGGGCGTATTTCTGTTTCGCGTACACAATCTAAGCAATGTACTGCTTGTAAGCTGCTGCGCGCTTGCTATTCATATACTCGTTACAAAGTTGTGCTGTTGTTCTTCGTACCCAGAAAGTGCCCCGGATGTTCGAGTATCTCCACATCGCCCCTATGTTGCGATTATAGCATACAAAAAAAGGTTGACAACGGGCCAAAATCTATTCCACTACAATTTATTTTCAGGTTACAATTAGAATCCTCAGTCTGCTAGAGATTGGAACAGAGGATGACGCTGTCGCTATTCATATCAGAAATGTGTTCTACCCTGTGCTCTTGCAGCTGCGGTCAAAGACGCCCGCGCTTAGCAAGCACCTGTATGCGTCTATACAGCTTAGAGGGAGCTGAATAAAGATAAGCTCAAAAAGTATTGATTTGAGCGGGCGGTATTGACCGACTCAGCCCATAGATTTTTGTATCAGTGTTGATAAGCTGGAAGGGTGGAGATTATCCTAGCGATAACTATCACTGACTGATGGCTAGACAAGGCACATGCGTGGATCATGGGAGTTCACGGAATTCCACAACAGTAGGTGATATTCGAATTTATATCTTCTAAGGTTTGCAATATTGAATATTTGACTCCGTTACTATCTAAAAGAAACCGGGAAAGGAATAAAAAACACCAACTCGCAAAATGCAGGTGGTCGTACACATGACAGCTGAGATAGTTTAGTACGAAATTGGGGGCAGTTTGCATTGTATTGAGCTAGAATGCATATTTAAGAAGCTTTTTGGTGTTGTATATTAGTTTAGATGTAACGTTCGTAAGCACCAGTCTACGTCGGCCATATATACGCTGGCAACTATTACTAGTATTGTGAAATTGTAAAATGTAGTTGTGCGTGGTATACCAGGCCGCCACTGCAACCTACACTTATGCTTTATTGGTTGTATGTTCGTAAAAATGAATCAGAGCAGCGCGTCTGCCAACATATACCAATTTGAAGTATAGTGATCCAGAAATTGATACAATTTGTTCTACCACAAACATAGTGAAGCACTTTATTTTAGATGTACCAATGGACAATAGACAGCTCGAACCCAGTTCGAGTATTGACCCGGATGTCTTGGGTTTGCAGTCAACTGCCTACTTCGCATTTGCCTACCAAGCTATGCGTCATTTCATTCGGATTCAGATTTACAATATCCACGGGCATTGCAATATTTATATCTTTGTTTCTTCCTTCTTGGCCTGCGTTTCCGCTTGTCGCTGCTCCTTCTTCGCTTGGCGTTGCTGTTTCTTCTCTTGCTTCTTCTCATTCTGCTTCATATTCCATTTGCTGAACATCTGCTGGCCGTATTTCATCTGCTGAAATTCACACATATTATCCGTGTCTTCCTCCATAATACACTGCTTCTTGCACTTCTGTTTGCCCGTACCATTCTCCAAAGCCAGGCAATCTTCGCAGTTGCTGACAACAAATTCTTGACATGCAATCATTTTTGCGCATACATCATCAGAATCCTCTTCATTAATACACTCAGATACACATGCGCGTTTATCATCGCCAGTGTGCTCGTCACATTCGCAATTGTCCTTGATGAACACTTTGCACATTTTGTTTTCGGCTCTCAAGTTCCAACGCTCAGTTCTGGACTTGCAATGATCATCAGAATCCTCACCTTCGATGCATTTACTGAGGCATTCAACCCTCTCGACACCCTTCGTGGTGTCAGTACAGTCGCAGTTCAATTTAATAAATGCATTGCATTTTTTATTCTCCATCTTCTTGGCGACCCAGTTGGCTCGCTTCAGAATGCGCTGTACTTTAGCTTCGCACATTTCCTGATCGGCGATACATGCGGAGATGCAGTCTTTCTTGTCTGCACCCTTCTTTCCGGTACACTCACAGCTCAAAGTGATGAAAGCATTACACTTCTTGTTGGCGAGCTCTGTGGCCGCTTTCGCCACTTTCTTGGCTGATCGCTTCTCCATACGTTGCAGTTTTGCCGCACAGAAGTCCCGAGATTCTGCACAAGTAGAGATACAAATCGTACGTTCGGCTCCACGCAATCCAGAGCACTCACTGTTGAGTTTGATGTACGCATTGCACTTCTGATTCAATTCCCTGTTAGCCTGACGTTCAGCCTGATTCTCCATGCGTGCAACTCTCGTTTCACAGATATCATCCGAGTCCTTGCCTTCTATACACTCAGCAATACAGCTTTTATTCTCGGCACCCATTAGATCTGGACACTCGCAATTTAATGTGATAAAGGCATTGCATTTTTGGTTCTTCTGCTTCTTCTGCGCCTTTTCTTCGTTTTTACCCAAACGAAGGCGTGCCTGCAAGCATCTCTGATCACCATTATTATCAGAAATACACTCCTGCAAGCATTCACGCTTACCCATTTGCGTGGTCAGTTGATCACAATCACCGCAATGGGACTCAATGAAAAATGCACAAGTGGAGGATTCACGAGCTTCGACGTTGGCGGCGTAAGCCATGATGCAGATCACCAGGACCTTGATAAATTTTGTGGCAACCATAATTTGTTGCTATCATTTCTTGAGCCTTGGCAAACAGAATGATTTGATGAATGACCTGAAGCTACTATTTATGTTCATATATCGTTCACATTTATGTTATCAAAAATAAATTAATTTAAAAAACAAAACAAAACCGCTTGGAAAATTAGATACTCCTGGAGCAGTGGTAATCTGATTATCAGTACATACATGATACATATGTTTGTAGATTATAAATATATATTTTTAGAACATGTTAAATTTTTAATTTTGGACCTTGGGGCAGTGGGGCTGGGGCCTGGTATGTACTATGTATCAGTACTATGTACAATAGAATTTACATAGTAAGACATACGTAATCTACGCAATATAAATAATTCGTGATGGCTATCGCCAAAATATGCACTCAACGTTTTGCTTTTTGGAAAAGGGGACTCATATTTTGCACCTCATGCTGTGCCCAACAGGGCTACTTCGATATATACGTCTGTCCAACCTGTTATAAAAAACGTTAGTACGCTAAACGTATTAACTATTGTATTTAATATGAGCATATCACAGAGGACTTAGGAGTTATTTAGGTACTGGTTGTGGTTACATACTGGAATTCTTGATTCTGGAACAGCCATTTTTTTTTAAATGCTTCATTTTTTTATTCTGAGAGTTTAGCGAATTCCTGTCATTTTAAAGTTTTTCCCTGATATCAGCGGTATGCTAATGCGGGTGGTTTCCCCAAATGCGCAAGACTGAAACTAGTAGAGAAAGTATCATCTACATATCTAAAAATTTAAAAAATCTCGGAGTTATGAACTCCTGACTCCTATGTAGTCCTGACTTTTACCCTACATAATATTACAGATTTGAGATTTTACCCCTACCGAGACTTGTCATTTGACTCTTTGAGAGTCTTGAGATTTGAGACATTAGAGTTGAGACTTGAGAATGACTGTTATTGTGTTCAATTTACATAGGTAAAATTTGCTCCTATTTTAATACTGTTTTGCGGACTGCATATGTACGATTCCAGGCTCCAGCGGCCAGCCTTTTTTACATATTCAGATTTGGTTTATATTTTTATTATTTTGCGGGCTACATACGATTGCGGATTTGATTTATATTTTTTATTATTAAAAACGTATACAAACCGGAAGGCTACTTTTCTTTGTATTTTTTTTAAACCCCCAAGTATTTTGTAAACATACAGAACTAGTATTTGTTTTTATTTTACAAAACAAATATTAAATCTGTATGTAAATACAATTTGTCAATTTAATACTATGTACATAGTCACATTCTGACTGTAAATATTTAGTATTGACGGAGTACAGACTTTATATTTATTATACCCTTTTTTTTTAATTTAAAATTTTGTTACTTTTTGTAGAAACAAATAGAATCCACTGCAGCTCCTCTCGCGGCGGCCTTGGCAGTTGGCAAGTTGGCGCAGGGCCGCAGAGGCACGGCGCAGGCTCGCAGCCCGCACAAGTGAACTAACCCGACGCGCATTGAACTCAATTGCACAAGAATTGCTCCGACATCGTATTTTTTTTTAAATTTATTGCAATAGAAGGGTGAATTGAAAATCTACTATGTATTAATTATGTACATACGTACTTGGAGAATTCGAGCAGCAATTCATTGTAGCATACAATAAACATTAGATATAGTTGAGATAGCTAAAGAAGTTAGGAGCATGGAGCGTCAACTTGATCATTGCCGGGTGTAATGGATCGTATCATATAATAGATGGCAATATGAAAAGTCACCAGAAGTCTGAGAAATAGTGAGCGCTTATATCACCGTTGTACGCGCCCGTACAAAATATTTGCCATGAGCTATTGTCCACATAGAACAAAAATATAATAACATCTCAGATCTGTTGTAATACGACAGTCAGTGTCCCGGTTTGAATCTTTCATGTAAAACGAACGAAGGACACGAGTTGAATTCTCGAATTCCCGGTTTCTATCTCTAGCGCTATAGAAATGAGCTATAGAAACTTTTGTTCTTGATTTTCATATAACGAACAGGCCAGTGTCTGTGTTTTAGAAAAACATTCACTATACCTAAAGCTATTTGGATCAAAACCCTTTTTTTGTCGTTAACCCACGACGCTAGTACAATCAAACGATGGCATTGTGGTTCACAAAAGCAGCTAGATGTATTGAAGTTTCATTTGGCTCAAAATCTATACTTTAGGCTGAATGCCCGCCCTCAAACGTTCAACTATGGACCTTGCGTATTATCCGTTCCCGCACAACTCACAACACGACAGATAGATCTCACCTGAAATGAAGTAATCTATAAGGGGCAGCGAAAACCCGTTATGGCGCACAGTGACACTAAGATTTAAATATATATATGAACGCACTGAGTCGGA